TTCCCTATGTCCCTAGATGAGGTATGAACTTGCCTCTTTCAAGTCAGCTTTTTGTTTTGTTTTGCTTTTAGTTGCTTTTTGTTGTTGTTTTGTTTTGTAAAAGGGATTTTTGCTATAGGACATGTGTGCTCATGAGAGAGAAAGAGAGACAGAAAGCAAGAAATCACCCCCAGGAGTGATTACCATGGCACAATCCCTTCTCCATTCTCCTCTCAGGATTTTGGGCATGCACACACATGTGCCCGCATGAGTTTTAAGTTGCCAGGTCTGGGACTGCAATCACGGTTGATTAAGTGAGAATCCAGCGATGTAACCATCATGCCATCTACTGGTCCCATAAGCCAATTCTTTGACCTAACCAAATTCACTTTGATTTTGTTAGCACTGTGGAAAATGTCTAAAATATACTAGTGGGTTGTTCAATGAGAAATGTGATTTCCTATAGAGGTATAAGGCAGAAAACCAAAAGAGCTGGCAGCAATGTAACATCTATGTAAGTGCTATTCATGTAGTGGATTCTTAGTAAATATCTATAAAGATACTATATTGAAGTCCCAAACTGCTCTCTATAATATAGCAATATGGTGACATGGTGGTTAAGGTGCTGAACTCCTACATGACTGACTGCAGTTTGAGTCCCAGCCCTGGTGGCTTGCTTTCTCACTTTCTCTCTCTCTGTGCTAAGCATGTGTGCCCTATAGCAAATTAATAATAATAATAAAAAATAAAATTGAATAAGTAATTCTTTAAAAAGATGATAGCAATACATATTTTTCCAGAGATGACCAGAATATTGGGAGGTGATGGTTTTATCATGGGGGAAATTATGAATCCCTGCCTAACTTCCCCAAACTTTCTTATTATATGAAAACCTCAGCCACTGAGGGAAAGGCAGAAAACACTACTACCAACAGGGTCTTGGCAAAGACCCCTACTTCTGGAAAAGAGGTAGAAGCAGAAGCTCCCTGTCTGCAGGGTAGAAGTAGGAATCACTGAGGCTCCGTGTTCTGAATGATTCACTGTAGAGATTGACTACTGCTGAGAAAACATTCTCACTAAAACACAGCACAGATACAAGGGAAGATTTGACTGCAAAGAGAGAAGCCGAGATACTGAGAATGTCCATCACATCTAAGGCTTGGGTGCACAGGGGCTTTCATATAACCAAGGCTGGGTCAGGCGTATGGAGAACCACTGGGCCCTAGCACCAGTAACAAAGAACTCCAGTCCACTAATAAGGAGGAAAAAGAATGTAGGGTGAGGTCTCTCTACTACATAAGCATGTAAGGACTGCCAAAAAACAGGGACACTGGGAAAAACTCCATGCCCCACATTAAGGCAACCAAATAGCAACCACATGCTGGATACATCTGAATGAAGCCCATGGTACACTGAAGGTGTAAGTAACAGAAACTAAACTCACTCAACTCCTCACTAAATTAAACTTAACTGCCTGTAGTATTGACTGACAAAAGAAGAGATATGTCCATTCCTATATTTTTAAGAATTATTTATTTTATTTTTATTAATTATTATTTTTATTTGACCACAGAGGAAAAGTGAGAAAGCAGGCTGCCAGGTCCAGGACTCAACTTGCATTTGGCCATGTGGGAATCCAGCACTTTAACCACTACATTGCCTACTGGCCCCATGGGCAAGTCCATTTCTAGGCATAAATGTTATTTGCTTTGGTTTTGGCTGTTCTCCTACTTAATGATATCTATTATTCAGGAAAAAAAAACAACAAAAAAAAAACAAAACAAGATACTCAAAAAAGCAGGAAAAACAAATAAACCAAGTCATAATTAAGAGAGAAAAAAACAAAACCAGACTCAGAAATGATCCATCCGTTGGGCTATGATTAACATTGTAAAGAATCTGGTGGGGGACCAGCAGTTAACGTAATGGCTATGTTGTTGGACTCCCACGTAGTCGATCACGGTTCGCGTCCCGGACCCAGTGGCTTAAACTCACGCCAGGCGCGTGTGCATGCATGCCCAAGATCCCGAGAGGAGAATGGAAGAGAAGGGATTGGGGTGTGGCCATCCCCCCTGGGGGGTGATTTCTCACTTTCTGTCTCTCTGTCTCTCTCTGTCTGTCTGGCGAGCACACGCGCCCTATAGCAAAAACCTCTCCAAAAAAAGAAAAAAAAAAGAATCTGGTGGAAGAAGTAGATAACATGTATGAATATACAGGAAATTTCAACAGAGAGAAGGAGATTATTTAAAATGTGTAATGGAAATTAAAACATTTCAGAGACAAAGAATTCATTTAATGTGCTTATCAGCATACTGGATATAGCTGAGGACAGAACCAGTGAACTTGAATGTAAATTATCCAAACCGAAACAGAAAAACAAAGTTTTTAAAAAAGAATGGTATATCTAAGAGTTGTCAGAAAATATCAAATGATTTAATAAACCTGTAATGGAATCCCAGAATGTAGTAAGACAGGAAGAATATTTAAAGATATAAAACTGAGGATTTCCCAAAATTAATGTAAACAAAAGATAATAAGAAAACCTCATTGACAGAGAAAAATGGCATGTCGAGGTCTTCAGAAGAAAACTGACTCCTCCATGGGAGCTGAGAACTAGTGCTCTCAGGGACTAAGAGAAATGAAGCTTTTCTGCTTAGAATTCACCCTCCACACCCCATTCTTAAGTGCCTCCATGCATTGAGTGTTTAGACAAGTGTAAGAGAACTGTAACCAAACATCTGATTACTATTAGGGTCGACATATTCCTCAATCTAAATCTGTTGCACAAAGGGAGAAAAATGGAATGGCAAAGAGATTGTAGATCACCTCCTTCTGCACGCCTCTATATGCTCAGATTGAACTTCTAGAAATTAGGAAGAAACCAATAACCCATCAGATGACTGGAAATCGCCACAGAGGCACAAGAAATATAAGAAACAAAGAAATTACCTCTCCTCCAAGGGAAAAGAATAACTTCTCTTGATCCACAGACAGTACAATGGAACTCATGGAAATGTCACATAAAGCATTTAGAATATGTATAGTGAAAAAGCTAACAGAGATGCAAAAGAAGAGAGACAATGAACTCCAGAAGAGGCAGAAGAAAAGAACCAACAAGTTCCAGGAGGTGAGGAAGTTCTTACATGATCTGAAAGAGGAAATACACACCTAAAAAAGAATCCAATGGAACTGTTGGAGATGAAGGCTATAGTATAGGAAGTCAAAACCTCCCTCGAAAGTACTAAAAGCAGACTAGATCATACAGAAAATAGAGTTTCAGGTGTAGAAGACAGAATCGCTGGACTAGAAAAATCCACCATGAAGACTGAGAAAATAGCCCCCCAAATATAAGAATAATATATGATAAATACTTGCTACCACTAAACAGCCAAACATCTGGATAATTGGTATCCCAAAAGGTGAAGAGACCAATAAGGATATTGATAATTTATTTCATGAAATCCTGGAAGAAAACTTTCCAAACCTAGAGAGGCATTCAAAGATCTAGACCCAAGGACCCCAAACAGAATCAACCCAAGAAGATCTTCTCCAAGACACATTATAGCCAGATTGACCAAAACCACAGACAAAGACAAGATACTAAGATTGGCAAGAGGAAATGTCCAGTTATCTATAAATGATACCCTCACCAGACTAGCAGTGGATCCCTCATCAGAAACAATGCGAACAAGGAAAGAATGGGAAAATATATTCAAAGCGTTGAATGAAAAACAACTTCAATCAAGAATATTGTATCCGGCAAGATTATCCTTCATATGGAAAGAGAAGACAAGAACATTCTCAGATAAACAAAACCTGAAAGAATTTACCAACACCAGACCAGTTCTCTATGACGTTCTGAAGGGACTACTATATAAGGAAAACTAAGTCAGACACACAGAATTGTAATAGTTCAAAAACAACTAAGAAAATGGCCAGCTAAATGGTACGGATAAGTCTGGAGTTGAATGTTATCTTCCAGAATTTAAAAGGAAAAATAGGACCACAACAGAAGATAGATTAAACACCCAAGACTGAACTGGTAAAATAGAATTTTATGACTTTTGACTAAAACATTACTGATCTTCCTCTATGCTGTTTTCCAGAGTTAAGTATCATTGTCTTCTCTTGAGTTGTCATCAGGTCTATGTACCTACTATTTGAACAGAATCCTAACCTGTTTCCTGGCTTTAAGCCTTAAGCAAAGTTCTCCTAACATTTTTTATTATAATTATTAAAGCTAAAACTGCCTTTCTTGAAATTAAAAATAGATTTAAAAAATACCTATTTAATGACCACAGTAAGCTATATAGCCTCAGCTAGGTGCTACTTTATAGTATATGCATTCTACTCACAGAGTTTCATGCCTAAAGTCAAACATGTCTTCACAATTATGTATGTATCAGCTGAACTTGCTATCTTAAGTAGTTAGATTAATTAAGACATTTTATGAATCAATAAAACGTGGGGGGAGAGGAATGGAAAGTAACTATAGATACCAGAAACAGTGTAGAAAGAGGGCGGGAAATGGCGGAGGGTGACAAATGGGGAGGTGGAATATAAATATAGATGGGAAATTCGCATTTTTTGTGTTTTGATAATATCGAGTAAATGAATGTAAAATAAATAAATTTTTTAAAAAGAAAAATGCATGTTGACTAAGGAGGAACAGAGATAAAAAGCTACAGTGGCTTACATGATTTCTAATAAGAAGAGAATGGAATAATGTACTTGAAGTACCGGATGGAAAAAATACTGTCTACCTGGAATTCTATACTCAGCTACAATAACTTTCAAAGTTGAGGGACAATGTAGTTTTTTCCCTCTGTTTCCAGCAGACGTTCACTATAAAAATTTTAAAAGAAGTTCTTCACACAGAAGGAAGTATATGTCAGCAGATGGAAATTTGGATCTACATAGAGAAATAAATAGCTCTAGAAATGATAAAACAACGAAAAGAAATAAAAACTTATAAAATTGTAATCACTTAATGTTTTCCATGAGAGAGAGATGTAGGGGCAGGAGAAGAGACAGGCACCCCCAACAGGGCCCTCATGCTGTGATCCACCCTGGCATCAGCAAGCCCACATCATGGGCATACATGTGCATGCTCAGCATGTGCAGAGACCTCCAGATGTGAACCTGGGACTTCCCATGTGAGCATCATTGCAGAGCTTCACATTACTGCCTTGCCACTGTCTGGCCCCAAATAAACATGTAGTTATGTCACCTCTTGCTTATAAATTCACAGAATAAGGTCAAAATTCCTTAGCATGGTACAGAAGACCTCTCACAATCTGTTCCCATTCCCACCGCAGTATTCCCTGGCATGACCCCAACTCCCTGGCTTACCTTTGCTTGTATGTTATTGCAGGAAACATAGCTTTAACATAAAGTTATAGATAGCTTAGAAAGAAAAGAATGAAAAAGATGCATACAAATATTAATCAAAAGATAGCTGAGTGGCTATACTAATAAAGCAGGCACTAGAACAAGGAATGTTACCAATAATTCAGTAAGTCAGGTAGGGCCTGAATTTCTTTTGTTTTCTTTTTTTCTTTTTTCTTTCTTATTCATTTACTTCTTTCCTTCCTGCCTTCCCTCTCTCCTTCCTTCCTTTCTTCCTTTCTTTTTTTCTTCCTTCCTTCCTTCCTTCCTTCCTTCCTTCCTTCTTTTTCTTTCTTCTCTTTCTTCTCTTTCTTTCTTTCCTCCTTTTCTTTCTTCTTTCTCTCTCTCTTTTTCTTTCTTTCTTTTTTCTTTGCTCTTTGCTTCTTTTTTCTTTCTTTCTCTTTCTTCTCTCTCACTTTCTTTTTCTTTTTGGACAGAGGGTACATGCACTTACCAGAAAAGAGACAGGGAGAGAGGGAAGGGGAGCAAGCACTTTACATGAGGTGTGTCTATGCCGTAATTCTTCTCCTCCATTGCTTGCTCCTTTCAGGGTTTCGGCACACACACACACACACACACACACACACACACACACACATGTGCCCAGCATGTGTTTCAAGCTGTTGAGTCCAAGGCTCAGGCCATACAGTCAGCCATGCAGGATCCAGCTTCTTTAACCATCAGTCCATGGCTGGCCCAAGATTCTGCATTTCTGACAAACTCCCTGGTCCAAAGATCACACCTTGAGCAGTAAGTCCTTAGAAACACTAAGTGCATAGAAAAATTGGTAGAATGAAGGCAGCTGTAAGGACTCCAAGATCAATAGTTTGGGAAATACAATTTTATTGTATTATCCCTCTTAGATATTCACAATGATGAAATAGAATCTTAAATAATCAAAAATTTCCGCAATAAAGAAATCTGTGGTAAGCAGACTCAATAATTTCTTCTACTTCTTTGAGTACAAAGATACTCATGCCCTTGTATAATCACTTGGTCTTGTATGTGCTAGAAATACTGGCTCACTTAGAATGAATAGTATATGGTAGAAGTGATGAGATGTCATTTCCAATATTTGATCATAAAAAGTCTGTGGCTTCTAACTTGAGTGCTCTCTCTTCCTTTCTCTCAGATCACTCACACTGGGGGAGTGAAGCATCCCTGTGGAGACACCCATCCGAGCTCTGGCCAACAACTTCACTGCAGCCTTGTAAGACATTCTGAGCCAAAGTCACTTAATTAAACTGTCCCCAGGTTCCTCATCTACAGAGACTGTGAGGCAATAAATGTCTGTCAGACCATCCCCATAGCACAGTGGTTAAGTCTCTGCATGTAGAGCTAGATGGTGACTGACCCCAATTTAAATCCCAGCCCTAGTAGCCTAAAAAATGTACTGCATGCATATGAGTGGGGGCCTAAAATTCTGAAGGGATGGAGAAATGGAAGAAAAAGAATTTCAGTGTGACCACACCCTACTATAGGGTCCTTTCCCCCCCTCCCCCAGTAACAACATGTGTTCTCTGGAAATAGATTATACATACATACATACATACATATATACATACATAAATGTTTGTTTTATTTCTGCCTGCTAAGATTTACAGTAATTCATTATGTGGCAATAGATAGCTAACAGAGGACTAGTTTAACTTTCCTACCCAGTGTTTAAGACACAAGGATTGACTAGTTTGCTGTCCAATGCTGTGCAGTTTCCATAGTAACCTTTCTAAGTACTGAGGAATTGTGGATGCAACACTTGATTTGTGCTTGTGTTACACCAAAATTTAAGCCCAGAAGTGTTTTTTTCTTAAATAAAATCGAACATCCTATAGACACAATTTAGAAAATATTACACTTAACTCTTCAGTAGTACCTTATTTCAAAGTAAAAAAAATCCAGCTGTATAAAGAACTTTCGAATGCTTAGGACAGATTGCTAATTATTGACAGATGAACACCCGGTCTAAGCTTTATGAGACAAGAAGAAAGACACTAAGGAGCCAAGGAGAAATAATTCAGGGAAACAGAATTGACAATGTGGTCGGATTGAGGAAAACTCTTAGGTCCTTTGACACCATCCTGTAGCATTGCTTCCTGTTCATAAGAACCAGATGAGATTATCAGACTGTGATTATTCTAGTCTATTGTTTTTAAGAACACTAAAATTTGTGTGTCTCATTCTAGGAGATGAACTGCACAGATTAAACAAAGCTAAGTGAAACAAACAAAACCTATACAGAAGGGACGCCTGCAGAATCTTCTGTTCAAAGCCTCCTGAGTATTACACAGACTTGAGTTCGGTATTTCCATCAGAAAATAGAGAAAAAGTTTGCCCATCCGTGAATCAGTGAGGTGAAAAAGTTATAGTTGATGTTACTATCAAATCTGTCAGATGATCTTGGTAATTGGATTTTATTACCAGCTTATAAATTTCTACATAAGAGATGACTTAAAAAAGGACAGAGTTCAACCCCTCTTTGAAGCAGATGTCCAGCTGTGCCTACAGATCTTAGCTGTGGACTGCTGGCAAACACCCTGTATCCATCTGGATTTCACAGAGAGTGAAGTCATCATCACCTTGCTCTAAGGCGCATAACAGTGTGGGTAACAAGTAAATGTTCAGCACTGGAAGCTCAGACTCTCAGCACGTACCCTCTGGAGATTCTGAATGTTTCCCCAAGTGATAACAACCATGAACTAAATTTTGAATTTTACAAGGTTCATGCTTAATAGTAGGTAGCATTTTGGGCAAATGTGCAATCAAGCTAAACTTGCAAACTAAACTGTTATTTAAGTCTTTCACATATACATATTGCTATCCTATGGCAAACACTTATTGACAAAAAACAATGTACAGACAGAGCTTCCTAACGTAATTTCAGTGACCTAAGTTTTTAAATTACATTAGACTATTTCTATGTGGTGTAAAAAAAAAAATGACAATTCAATTTTCAGCCTCTGCATTTTTATTTCTAGAGTTCTTGCTCTTTAAAACTAATTAATTTTCCATAACTGCTGTACAGTTATAATCAGTCGCTATGAATCAGAAGTAAAATTCAGCTCATGTCAGAAATTATTCAGGAACCTTCATTTGGTTTTAAAGTAGAACGTTTAATTAAATGAGCTACAAGAAAATAGTCCAATTTCTACTACTTTGTGTTCTTTATAAAGATTTAGCCTGTTGGGGACCAGCAGATGGTGTGTTGATTAAGGTGCTGGACACTCCCAAATGGCCAACCATGGTTCAAGACCTGAAACTGGTGGCTTGCTTTCTCACTTTCCCTCTGGGGGGATGTGTCTGGTCACATTAAAGTAAATGAATAAATAAATAAAACTAAATAAAAAATTATTTTTTAAAATAGGAAATACTGCTATAAACTCTCAACATATATAATGTCCACACTTTCTATAATAATCTCATTAAAAAAAAAAAAAAGAGATTTAGCCTGTTACTGCAGTGATATCAGTCAATGCCAAAAAATATTACAGGGGCAACATGTCATCATTCCTTCCTTAAAGAAAAACGTGTAGGGGCCAGCCATGGCATGGTGTTTGGGATGGCTGGATTCCACATGATTGACTACACAGTTCCAGTCCCTGACCCACTGGTTAGAGAAACATGCTGGAAGCATATGCATGCATACCCGTGATCCCAAAGGCAGGAAGAAATGGAAGATTTTGACTGGAGGATTTTGACTTAAATGGAGGATTATTATTTAGTTGTTACCATTCTCCATGGGGAGCTGCTTTCTCACTTTCTTTCTCCATCTCTCTCCAGTAAATGCCACACCCTCTAGTAATATTTTTTAATTTAGAATCTTACACATTAAGAGAAAAGAACAAATATTTCCAATATTTCTTCATAAAAGAGTAATAGTAGATTTTGACTTGTTGAATCATGTTTTTCTTAGCATAGTACATTTAGGAAATACTTTGAAATTGATTTACCATATACCAGCTCAATAATTTACATAATTATGTCATGTCAAAAGTAAAAGATAGTTTTTCACCATGAATACATTATATTGGAAAAGATTACAACAAATATAGTTAAGAAATAGGTAATAGATCCTCTATACTAAGTTGCTATAGCCTTTGGTAAAAAATTATTAGTCACATTCCTGTAAATTGAGAGATGTGGAATTCTTTTTTTTTTTAAGAATTATTTATTTAATTTATTTTATTTATTCATTCAATCACTTTCATTTGATCAGAGAAAGACAGACACACAGAGAGAAGGAAAGTGGGAAAGCAAGCCACCAGGTCCGAGACTCAAACTGTGGTTGGCCATGTGGGGGTGTCCAGTGCCTTAACCACTATGCCACCTGCTGACCCAAAATGTGGAATTCTTTAAATTAGTGATTTGCAAATATGTGTAAATGAGTCACATCTTCAAAGATTATTATTCAGCAGGTCTGTATCTGGAATCTACCATTATGATTCTGAGGTAATCAGTCTATTGACTATACTAGTTTAAAAGTGGTGATTAGTGAATGATGGCTAAAAAATACTACCAATGGGAAAAGAATACTGTAATTGGTTAATCTGGTAAAAGTAAGGTTGAATAGTTACAGCTTTCTAAGAGTATATTTAAAGAACTAGGATACAGGGACCAGCAGATGGCATAATGGTTACGTCACAGGACTCCCACATAGTCGGCCACAGTTAAAAACTCATGTGTGTATCCAAAATCCTGAAAAGAGAATGGAAGAGAAGGGATTGCGATGTGGTCATCACCCCTGGGGGGACTCACTTTCTGTCTCTCTGTTGCTCTCTGTTTCTCCAGCAGTGAACTCACATACCCTAAACCAAAAATCTTAAAAAAAATTAAAAAAAAAAGCAAAAACCAGTCACCAATTATTTGATATGCTTAAGGAAAAGGGGAGAGAGAAGATAAAAAGAAATAGGCTTAAATTTTAGTTAGTACACTTAGGATTATACTATAAATAAATTTTCCAGCATTGAGAGCCTAGTTTCTTTTTTACCTAAACCACACCACCCATCCCACCACTCCATTTCACTTGATTCCTAAGGAGCCTTTGCTAAAGTTTTCCCTGCAACTAACATATCCTTAGAAAGCATTTTTCTTACCCAGCCATTCTCTTTAATCTACTGCTCCCTTATTTTTACCCCACTGGGGTAATTTCTATTAAAATAATTTATAGCCAGAGAAGATGAACTATATTTTAAGGGTGTTTTTTATTTTGGGGAAAACTATAAACATAAGATCTCCTTTCAGCTTAAATTCTTTAACCACCTTTATTAGTCATTTATTGACAATAAAAAGGATCTGTGTGTGATTCAGGAGCCCTTCAATTCAGTTAAAACATAAGGACTTTCTACTTTAGCTTTTAGTTACTAGTCATGTCTTTCAAAATATCTTCAGTGGTCACAGTTCATCCACAAAAAAATTTCAGATGTATTTGGAAAAAACTCATTTTGGGAATTCATTTCAATCATTTTGGAAAAAACTGTTTTTTAGATGTATTTGGAAAAAAACTCATTTTTTTATTTCAAAGGGTGGGTGGACATTGGAAGATAGAGATGAGATAAGTTTAACAGTTTCAGATTTCATTTTTCTACTTGGATATTCTTTCCGTGTTCCCCCCCCCCTTTTTTTAAAAGTCAGATCTCAATAACTTCGATTTTCAATATTGATGTCTATTGGTATTCTATATCTGCCTAGATCTAAGTAAATTATGCTATTGTTACACAGGTTTTTCACTCCCTTATTTTTCTAGGTT